AATTAATTGAAGATTAAAATTTGTTGCTCTCCTCTAAGACCAACGTTAAGCTAAACATTTATACGGGTTGTGAGGAGTAGTCTTATCAATTGCAGAGAGATAACACTTATACATGTTAGACTGACCTTTCTAATTCATTTAAAAGAGGAGGCTTAAGCGGCACGTTAAGACTCTCATTATGAGTATTAAGTCTGTCATATTAGGATTATTATTTTAGGCCCTTTTAAGATAATACACAAATGATCAAATTATCACTTTAAATTTATTAAAATTTTGAACAAGTAAAGAGTTTCTCGATTTTACACTATTGTCAATTAGAGAATTAATTGTAAAATAGTTAATTCCACAAAATTCTGGTCCATGCAAAAATACAGTACCTGATACTTGTGAGATGAGCCAGAATTTTATAGTAATACTTATTGCTGAATAGATACCAAAAGGTATTTGATAGCGTATCATTACATTCTGTCAAATACACCAAATAGAATCATATATTAAATTTTTATATAGATTACTTTAAAAATTTGTATATCCTGAATTTTGTCAAGACTCTTGCATCGTCAAATCGATGTTTTTGAAAAATTCTACAAATATTATGGTACAAATATTTTGGTCAAATCCGATATTCTATAATTCTTTATGTATTTCAATATTTTGATATGAAACTGTCAGTTTCCTGAAGACGACTTTAGATTAAAGTCGAAATATTGGTATTAAAATAAAAATTAGTGTGAAATAATTTAAGATGATTTAATTAATTTTTATTTATTGGCCAATGTGAATGAATCTGTATGGAGAAGAACGACTGTCTCAGAAATTTCAATCCACATTCGCAGGCATTCGGATGAAATTGCCGTATATTTTAAAAACTAAAACATGATATTGCTCAGGCAGTTTTTTAATACAGTCCTCAAAGTAATAGGACACTAAGTATTCATTCAATTTTACGAACCCTAATCCACACAAGGCATTTTATTATTCACATCATTATCACATCATTACTACCAACGGAGTTACTTTAAAATAGTAATACTTTCATCCATTTATTCTATCCTGCACTAATCTTTACTTGTTACATTGTTATTACAAATCATTAAAGCTTAACTTATGGGTCTTCGGGGAGCTGACGCAACATGGTCGCTTCAGACGCCTCTTCTGCGTACGCGCCTATATCTAGTCTTGTATATCAACCCCGGTTACTGCTTGCTCAACTTGATCGCCCCACCGGAGACACGGTCTACATCTATACCTTCTTTCTCCAAGAACCGCTTTCAAACACCTTTTTCGCTGAAGCTACTTCATCCATTCTCTTGACATGACCAAGCCTCGGGATGTTAATTCGCTGTATTAATTCAATATCGTGATAAAATTTGTAAGTGGCACGTGGTTTATTCGGATGTGGTGGTAGTCGCCAACTCGTAGGCAACCAAAGATCTTAGTAAAACCTTTTCTCTCCAAAACACCCAATGTTGCTTCATCATTGTGCGCCATACAGAAGCACAGATAGAAAGCCACCTATAGAGCGTAAATTTTGTTTTTCAAGAGAGAACTCTACATTCCTATTGCCTACCAAGCCTATAGTATCACCTATTGGCAATAGTGATTCTTCGTGTGATCACCAGACTGACATCGTTGTTGTTCGTCACGATGGTACCAAGATAGATGAAATCGTTGACAGATTCGAAAGTATAGTCAGCAACGACTAGCTCAGCCTCCGAGTATCACATTTTTATCAGTAACCGACATCATTTTTTCCTCATTCACAGCTAAACCCGTTTTTACAGATTGAAACTTTAAACCTATTTAGAAACAGACATTAATAAATCCATCATTCGTTTGCAAATTCATTCTCTATTGTATGTTCACAACGGAACAAAATATTAAAAAATTAAATAAATCCCTGTTTACTTGTCGATAGTGTCAGTTTTCTGAATTATGTTCTTCCATAAGATTTTTTAAACTCGAACTAGGACAGTTTCAATGTCCTACTTAATACTCGCACACTTAATTTTTCTATATATTCCTCTACTTACATTCTTTCCCATCCCACCCCAAGTGCTTTTCTTCCTCGCTTTCAGGGTACCGGCAAGGCTTCATACAATCTATTACAAATTTATTCTGTAGTGCTTTAACTTCTGAAAGAAAAACACGATTAAATAAAAATTAAATACTAAAATTTACAACTATATTCATTATCGCAACCAGGAAGCAAGTCATGGGGAATGGGCCCATATTTTAAAAACTTCAGCAAAAATGATGAAAAAATTAAAATAGTTTATTTATATGAAATAATCAGTATCTATCTAAAGAAAGGTCATAGGGGTCATTAAATTTAAATACACCTATCCATGCCTTCGTCATCAATATATTTTATTAAGAGGGTGTGAGTTATTTCCTTATGGGACCTCTTATTATTATTAAATTTAATGAAATACAAAATTTACTTGAGTATATGTTTAAGGTTAGACTTTATCCAATACGATCCCTTTCACCTACGACCTGTATTGCATAAATCTGCAAGTGAACACCTAACACCTAATCATTTAAATAGCTGTCAGGATTCTTAACTATATGTTTCTATTTGTTCAGTTATTAAACGGCATGGTACGAAGTATAAATAATAGATAATAGAATGTCGGTTCTTTTTTATTTTTTGTTTGAATTAAGAAATATTCTTCATGTATGTATTGATTTAAAAGGAAATGTATTGTTTATTTATTCTAAAATCACACCAGACGGTTTCAGTTACGATCTTTATAACCCATTGATTATAAAAATATTTCTTTATACATTTAGATATCTATATAGATATGCTTCCAATACATAGATTTGTACATATGTATATATTTTTAAACAAATTTTAATTAAAATATTTAATTGAAATTTTTATATGCTTTAACAATAGATATCTAGATAGATAATAGATATCGAATATAAATCTATATCCGTATAAAGAAATATATTGTTTATTTATTCTAATAATCGCCAGACGGATTTAATGTTTATTACACATTAAAGATGGCAATATTTCTCCATATACAGATAGATAACTTGGTATATATAGATATTGATATAAATTTTTAAACAAATTTTTATAAATAAATTTAATTAAAATTATATCAAATTTAAATCTAGATTCTAAATATATATATCTATGTTGATATCTATATATATAGATACGTTTGCAATAGATAGGTATGTGTATAAATTTTTAAACAAATTTTAATAAATATGTTTAATTAAAATTTGCATGTCCTTTCACAAGAAATCTATATCAAATTTAAATCTAGATTCTAAATATATATATCTATATTGATATCTATATATATAGATACGTTTGCAATAGATAGGTATGTGTATAAATTTTTAAACAAATTTTAATAAAAATGTTTAATTAAAACTTCAAGGTCCTTTCATAAGAAATATATATCAAATTTAAATCAATAATATATATATATATCTAGATTCTTTTAAATTTAAATATCTATATATATATAGATATAGATCCTATATGTTTAAAGTTAAGAGATTTCATTAGGTTTTTTTCATATAGATATATAGGCTTGGTCATGTCGTGGTAATGAAAGAAAGTGCTCCGGCTAGAAAGGTGTTTGATTCGGTACCACCGGTGGAAAATGCGTGTATACACATAAGTGTATTAGATATTTATAAATATAAATATATAAATATATAGACACGTTTGCAGTAAATAGATATGTATATAAATTTTTGAACAATTATTAATATTTTCAATTATAATTTGTGTCTTATGACAAGAAATCTATTTCGATTAGAAAAGGTGGGAAATAGAGAGAATATTTTTAAATTAAATCAAAATTAGATATTGTAATCAATTGAATCTTTAAGTCTGTTGATAATCCTGCCAAATATCCTTCATCTATGTTTTTCGAAATATCTTATTTTTTAATTATCGGTGTTTAATTTAAAAACTGCAAGTATCAGGAACTAAACCCTGTCATATTTCAAATGTAGTCTTGTGTGTTACACCCTGGGCCAACGTTACACTTTATAAATTTAGAATTCTGTTCATTTTTCTTATTTATTCATGAACAAAACACGAACTCTGTAGACCTATTTTTTGAAACTAATGCACAGACCAAACCTATATAAATTCACTTAACTATTACAAATTGGTTTTATTTTTCTCAAATTTAAAAACTCTTTTTTAGTTATTTTTTTTAAAATATTCAAAGCGTATATGAAATATATATATGAAATGAAAATAAATATTATTTGTGCTTAATAAGACTTTTCCATCAGTTTATCCATTAATTTTAGTTAATTATGCTAACATTTCATAAATGCGTGGGTAAACTAAAGACCACAACATTCCATATACTCGATAGCATTTCAGAGTATAAAAATATTACAAAAAGTATCTTTGAAAAAAACTGCTGAAAGCGGTTTTTTTGCTTCGTCAGATAAATAGAAAAATTCAGTTCATTTAAAAAATGAAGCATTTATGTTAACATCAACATCATTTTACTGATATAGATTTGTCAAAGATTTCTTCAGAAATGTTAAACTAACGATCTGGAGGACATTGCCTTTAAGCGATTCGTGTTTCCATCGCAAAATACATAACGAAAAAAAAAATCGCTTTAAAACAAAAAAATTTTCTATTATACATATTATTTATTAATTATTATTTCATACATTTGTTACATTAGTACTAATAATGATAATAATAATAATAATATATTTATTTTTATCCTAATAGAAAACAAAATTACTTTACTTTCGAATGATTTTTGTTCTTTGCATATGCAATAGTTTTTTTTATATAATTTATATTTATTAATAATAGTCTATAAATTATTTACGAATAAAATACATGTGAGGGGAGAGTTTGTTACTTTTTTTCTTTTTCTCCTCCACGCTTTGTTCTGTACTAAATTATTTTCATAAAACACTAAATTTAACATTTTCACTATTTAATTTATTGAAAAGTAAATTGTTTAATTTTTTATTTTTTTGTTTATGATTACAACTGCAAAAATTAACAGAATTTAAATCGATTTAATTTATGTATAAAATAGTTTACATTGGATTTTGAAGCATTTGTGTTTGGAGTTGAGTTTAATTAAATTCAACATAAACTGCAAACGGCGTTGTAGGTTTTTAATGGGTATTGCTGCTTTATTTGTTGTTATTGGTGACCCGAAATCCTCGACTTAACATATTGCGGCTGTCGTAGTTGTGGTCGTTGATGTTAGTTGTACTTAATAGCGTTTTTGCTGACAGCTTAAGGATGTTGAGATATTATATATGTTTAAGCTCGTCATTTTTACAGTTTTTATAAATATAATTATAGCTATTATTAAGTAAACAACTGAGGTTGATTTAAAAGCCGTGAACTTTGAGTTGTTCAGGCTTAGCAAGGCCCGCCTTAGTCAACCATTGACAGATGTTCTCACGCTGATCACCTTGTAGCTGAAGCACCTCACCGTATTCGGCGTGTTCAATTACAGTGCCGTTGCAAGCGAACTCCTATAGGTATTTGTAAAAATATAGAATGTTAGTATTTTATTCTTTAAAATATATTAATTTAAAAATGTCTTTACCTTCTTACATGAGCGCACTATCTTTTTTAGATCATATTCTGATGATAAACCTTGAACGGTTGTTAAAGTTTTGCGTCCACTGCGCTGTTGGATTCTTATGTGAACGAGACCGTCTTGAACATCATCGTCTGCACCCTTGATTGCATCAGCAAAGGGGTCTGTAAAATAGTTTAAATAGATATATAAACTATAATTTTATGTAAGATATGATTTACTAAAGTAATTCAATAAAATAAAAATAGTTTCAATTAAAAACAATTTAATAATTTAAAAACAATCAATCAAAATGCAAGGCAATAGTACTGAAATAAGAATTAAAAAAAGAAGTAAGAGCCAAAGTGTCAGCTACGAGCACTAACAACCAAAAAAAAAAAAATAAATCCTTAATAAGATTTTCTAATCCAATTAGGTTTGGTATTCATAAAAAATTGAACTAATAGTACGGACAGCGAGTCCTATCCCCTTAAATTGTGCATAGAATTTGTCACCATTTAAGGACATGATTTCCTTGAGCTACAACAACAACAAGGCTACCACTTATTAGTTTTAAGAGCTGCTGAGTGGGTGCCTCGGAGCCATTCTTTAATTTCGACGACCAAGTGCCGTTCGCTATTCACAAAACAAATCATACAGCAGATCTTCGTAGATTACCAGAGCAGCAACATGCCACTTATAACCTCCATTTAATCTTTACCATTTGAAAGCTGAGCAGAACAAGATGTATATTTTATTTAAAATAGTTCTCGTAGGTTTCAAGAATAGCGGGATGTTCATCCTGGAACCACTCCTCGACCGCGACAACCAAGTGCCGTTCAACACCCCCAAAGGAACTACACAATCAGGTCCCAACGGGTTACAACAAAAACTTGGGAAAGACGTTCAAGGCACAAAAACACTTGGATATAAGTGATATGTCAATGTAAAACCTGTGAGCAGGTTGTTAAGATATATAAGTAAATGTTGAAAAAAATTAATGAGACACTAACAACACACATTTATTGTCAATCGTCTACATGTTCTTGGTATGATCAAGTTTCTCACCCGCTTAAAGTGACCATGTTTCCCATAATGACCATGTTGACTTCAATCTAATTTCCATCCATTTATAATACATTCCTTCCCCTTATTCCCCTCCCCCTACCTTTAACCACCACCCATCCACTTTTATTCCACCCATGTATTCGTCTTTTGTTTTTCGCTTTTAGGTCCCCGCGAGTTACAACAACAATATATAATTAAGTTTAATATCTCATTCTTTCCAGTTCTATATCTTAACCTTATTATCGCCAATTTATATACACCAATTTCCATACTGGTTTTTTTCCACTCATCACACAACCAAAAATCTGGTGAAATTCCGAAGCAGGTATCAACACAACGCAACGACAACAACAACTATAACAACCTGACAATAAGATTTACTATAAAAAATCACAAACGCAATATAAATTTCACACAAAAAAAAATAATTAGAAAAATTGTTTTGTTTGTAAAAAAAAAAAAGAAAAAAAATTTTACTGATAGTATTTTGATGACAATGCAAACGCGGCAAGGAACTTTTTTTTTATGACGACATCAACAACGAGGCCAATCTGTGAACAAAGATAAACGAGAATTCTCTCGAAACGTTGTACTGCTGAGTCACTCAAACATTTTTAGCAATTATTTATTAGCAATACTGTATAATAAATTAGCAAATATTTTAATTTGCAATTAAAAAAATGCACAACTTAATTTATTTAAAATAAAAAGAAAGTTGAGAAAATTTCACTAATGACTGCGCGTTAACCTCAACGCGGCCATCTTTTCTCGGAACACAATTTCAGCAAATTTTTTTAACAATTTCATGTATAAATACTTTACTTTTTGCACTTACCAAATGTATTTAAATTCTGGATTGACATACGACAATAAAAACGAACAACAGCCGAAAATAAAACTTACTGTAATATAATAAATTTAGTTCTATTTGTTGAATTTGTTGAAAATTTCTACCAAACGAGGTGTGACGTTTATACTGAATAACGTTTTTATGAATGAACAACTAATGAAATTTTATTTGGAATTTGATATTCAAAGCATGCTGGAATCGAAACGTTCTAGTGTTGAACATAATTAAATAGAAATGGTTACTTGGTTTAAATAGAAATGGTTACTTGTTTTTATTTTAATATTATCAATTCATTTAACATCATCTACTATAGGCCGGATAATAATTCACACAATAACGACCAATATTCTGTCACGATTTGTATTGAAAGGATGCTAATTTGCTAAATACGTATTAAAACTTTATATGTGTGCTAATAATATATAAAATCTATCAATATATTACAATTTAGCAAGTTAGTATCAATTGCGGCATTCGAACTGTCATAACAGCCATTGTTACTTTATTCAGATTTTTGAGAGTAGTTTTAAAAATATCTGCAAGACTATACTCTAAAATTGCACTCATTATGTTTTTATTTAGCAAATATAAGTCTTTAGCATTTAAAGATGACTTTAGCATGCTAAATAAAAATTCTAGAGACCTTTTATTTATATCATATTAGCATTTTATTTATTTTATAATATTTTTATTTCTCTTGCATTGTTATTATAATTATTAAAACATTTCGTTATTGCAATTATAATCATATTCTATGTAATCATATTAAAAGATTCAATTGAATAATTAAAACAAAATTAAATACAAATATTACGCTTTCTAAATATTTTAAATATTTCTTTATAAGTAATATTGAATAACTCAAAAAATGATGCACACTTTTTATTCCAAACTATTTTACATCATCGTAAAGTATTTCTACTGTAATGCGTACATAATTAGTACCAGCTCTTGAATTTATAGAACTTCTACTTCCTAAAAAGTAATTAATTGAATTTAAAAAAATGTTTTAAGTTTATATTGTATGGTTTGAAGGCATATTTAACCTTCACGTAACATTTATTTGGCACTTGCCAAAAATCAAATCAACAGGCATGTTGAAAAATCAGCTTTTTGAAATGAGAACAAATGAAATACAACGAATGTAAACACTTTCAAATGGCTCATTCAAAATGATTTTTACTTTAGGTCGTGTGCGAGTTAGGCTAAGTTGCGTTCTAAATGAGGGAAATTCTAAGTTGTGCCGAAAATGTAGTGATGTGTCGATACGTGTTGATAAATGGCTAAATGTGTGCAGTGCAAAAAAATCCCAAAAAATCTCCCATTTGGTTTAGTATCAACTTAGCCTAACTCGCACACGTCCTCAGTTGTATTTTTTTGTTTCAATTAATATGTTTTTGTTGTTAAAATAACGTATTGATAACAAAAGTTTTTCAATTATTATATATTTAGCACTCGTATGACAACTATGTCCAGACACACAAAGCCTCACCGTGAACAAATTTAAATCGAAACAGAACTATAACAATATCACATTTGACATGACCATAATAAAATACCACTAAGAAATGTTGTTCGATAGCGTTTGACTGTGAATGGGCCGCTTCAAAAACGATGATAATAATTGTTTGTTCATGCCACTCCTCACACACTCCTTGATTTATTTTTATTGTAAAAAGCAAAATTTCTTAATTTTTATTAATCAATCACTTGAGTAGATTAAAAAGTATTTTTCACAAACACGTAAATTATTTCATTTTTATGATTGGCTGTGTAGTGTCGCATAAGGTTGTATTTACTTAATGCCAACACTGTTTCAAAGCAACACTGCCTTATCATTCCGTCAAAATTATTTCTTAATCGTATTTAAAATGTTGAATCAGATGACTTTTTAACATAATTCACAACAACTGTGTTTATATATTTCGCATATTAAATTCAAATCGTTTTGTCACAAATAACAGCAAATAATAGTAAAAGTCTTTAGATATTGTATCTTAAATCAGGCAAATTCAAAGCAGGAACATTCTGAGCATAAACAGAAAAGTAATGTGCCTTTATAAATTTTTTAAAAATTTAAATTTAAATATTATTTAGCTTAATTAGGTGATGTCATTTATGTTTTTCTCAATATGTTTAGTTCATTCTAAAACTAATGCAAATTCCATTTGTACGAGGATGCAATCAGATGTACTCAACTACGCCAGTTTCGTTACAAAATATTTCCACTTCAAAATTAAATCTAAAAGTTATCCTCAAATTATAATATATACATAGTTCCCTATATAGATCATATATGAATTATTTACAGTATGAATAATTTGCTACAACTATTACAAAACGACTGGTTTTTATTTCAAGTAGATATATTTGTATTTAGTAAAATATAATTTAGTAAGTTATTAAACATAGATTAAAATTATTAACACTTAATAGTAAAACTATAAAGTATATACATATAAACAAATATATGCACATACGATGATTGCATCTTAATCTATTTTTATTTTATATCAAAACGTTTAAAATTATTTTAAATCTCCCATATTCAATATGATTACGTTTTAAACATATATTATCTAAAACAATATTGTCTTCAATATGAAAAGATATTGTTTAAATAAATTATTTTAATTTGTGTTGTTATCAATATCATCTACATCGGTATCTGTTATTCCCATTGTTAATTTTGCTGCTTCTTGGCGTTTTTGCAAATGTCGCCAAAGAGTACTTTTGGGAAGATCAAACATTATTGCAGTTTGATTCAGAGAAGTACCTTCATGGATGCAGACGTTCATAGCGTTAAATAACCTTTGCCTTAAGTCTTTCTTTTCGCTACTACTGATTCTTCTATGATTTAAATTATCAGGCAAATCACCGTTTTTAATTAAACGTGATCTATGCCTGTGAAGTGTAGAAATTGGTATATTTAAATCTTGACTAACATGTTTTAACTGTTCCCCGTTTTTTAAGCGTTCATATGCCTGTTTTAATATCGATGTATTACGTTCTGGTTTCACATAGTAGGGTGATTTGTGTACACGTCGCCATAGAACAGTTTTAGACAAACCAAATTTTTCAGCCGATTTTTTCAAACTTAAACCTTGTGAGATCACAGCATCCACAGCTAAATCATAGGCATTCTGTACTATTTCATGCACTGATCCACTTGCAGGCTCTTCCACTTCATCTAAACTATTCGAATCATTTGAGTCATTTTGACTGTAATTTTCAGTTAGTAGTTTCATTTCTTCTTCTAAATTTGTCATTTTACTTTCTTCTTCATCTTGTTTTATATGTTTACTTTCAGATTTATCAGAAGTTTGTGAATTATCATCATAGTCTATGCAAACGCCAAACGGTTCATTAATAAGCTAAATTTAAATGAAAATTTATTAACAAAAATAGATAGGAATATAACACAAGCACTCACAATATCCTCCGCTGTTTTATCACCTACAAATTCTACTTCGTTTTCATTTGCTTCTGTATCGTCCTTGGGAGACCGAAAGAAACTTACTTCCGATGTAATGCCCAACACGTTAATGGCTTGCAAAAACTCTGATAAATTTTCAGCAATTATGCAAGACTCTCCGTTATATATAAAATGTAAGATGTTTTGAAGTACATCAATTCTTATGTCGGGCACCACTATGGTAGCTTCTTCTCCTAGAGGCAAATCCTGTAGTGCAGAACGTAGCATCTCACTGGACGATGCGAGTACAATCCGATGAGCACGCAGGTAGCTTCCATTGGAAGTTATGACTACGTCACCTTCACCCTCCAACGATTTGTATATATTTTCAATGGTTGTAAGATGACCCATCCATTTTAAATGATTCATGGCAAAGAACAGGATATCCTCTGTAAAACTGACTTTAAGAACTTTTTAGCAATCCAGAATTAATTGGTACACAACAAAAGTTTGTTTTCGAAAACAAGCGAATTCGTAAAGGCTCTTTAAACATATGGAAGCGCAGAGTTACCAACACTAAAAAAATTATTAATTTTTGTTAAGGCTTAAGTTTAATTATAATTTTTAATAAATTTTATACAATTTTACTTGCTTTTTTCTTACTTTTTTGTACAACAAAATAAAAGCAACAAAATAAAGGACAACAAAATAAAAAACAAATTTTACCAAAAAGGATAAAATTTGTTTTTGAAGAATTAAAAAAATTGGTTTGCCAACGTTAGAATTTGAAAACCAACTAAATACCGAGCAGCGTCTGATAACCCAATTGAATACACAAACTTGTTCAATGTCTTTACTGTTATATAAATATTTTATAAATGTGTTGAAATTATTTTTAGTTTGTACAAACAATTAAGCTATATCTGCATATAGAATAAAGATCTAAGTTGAAATCATGGCCTGTAAAAAATCTTATTCTTTCCCATATATCAATACAGTTTTAGATTTTTTTGGGTGTTGGAAATTATGGAGTGGCATTTATTCATTTTGAAGAATTCGGTTTCGATATATATCGGAACCACATAATATACATTAGCGAAATTTCATACATTTTTAGAGAACAATTTGTCTTACAATAAATTTATTGTTCTAACGAGTAATTATGTTCTGTATATATAACACATACATTTAGAGTTGCCAGGTCTTACATGATTAAGTAATTACTATGACGTCAATTACATTATTACATATTACTTGTTTTGATTATTTTTTATTTTTTATCATATATAAGAATAAACAAAATGTTTTTTATATAACAAACATAAGATATTACGATTTTAATATCTTATTACGATATTAGTTTATTACGATATTAATATGATGATCTTAGATTTATTGGAGAACATGCTTGTAGACGTGTGTGAATTCAAATAAATTGAGGTAAAGTAAATTGAAATTTCCTAGGAATTTTTTGCACTGCATTTATGTAAATATTTATTTATTCATTTATTGAACTTATTTATTATTTTTGGTTAAAAGTATTTAAATTTATTTATTAAACATATTTTAAAATTTTCACGATGGTAATACCTAATTTATCTAATTTTTATCTAATTTACCCTACTCGAAATTCTGATAAATACCAACATTCCAAAATCATTGTTCTGATTAGTATCTGTTTATAGTATTTGATTGTTAAAATTTTCATAACTAAAGTTTGAAAAGTTCAAAAGTAATTTGGGATAATTTTAGTAAAGATATTTTATCTTTTTTTTTCTGTAGATTGTTTTACACGTGATAGCCACCGATGACTGTTTTTTCATATTATTAAGTTTTTTAAATTTTCAAAATTTTGAAAAATTTATCTTCATAGCCTCGGTATCGTTTAATATTCCATCATAAGACCCTAAATTCCTTCCTAACGTGTTGAATTTCAGAGCATAAAACTAAATAAAGTTTAATGCCTAGTACTAGCTCCTTTCAATATCGTATAGGGACTGTAAAGACAAATACATAGTGTATAAGTTTATTTGCTAAAAAAATAAATTTTTCATTCTAATATAAATTAATATAATAATTAAATTACCTTTATATAATATAATATCATCTAACTATTATTTAATAATATTATCTTCATATATTAGCTTATACTATGTTCAAACAGCCAAATTTCCTTAATTTCGTAAAAATTAAATTAAGTTAATTTCGAAAGTGTTCATACTGTCCCAAATTAAGGAAATCATATGGTTTTGTTTACAAATGCTTCAAACACCATTTGTATCTCAAAAATTTTAAAAGTTGATTATTAGAACTATAAAGGATGGTATATAGTAGTTTTATTAACTTTAGTGGATTTCAATATTATATAAAATAATTATTTTTTATTCTATTTTATATTAATAAAAGTAACAGTTTTTTCTTTATATTCAATTTTAAAAATGTGCATTTCTTTCAAAATATTTTCCTGGTTTTATTAAAGACAACTGTGACTGACATTTATTTAAAAAAAAGTAATTTTTTCGTTATCTCAACTTTATCTTTTCTTTAAAATTTATTTTACGCATACTTGCATTTGAAATATACCATAATTTCAGCCTTCGTTTCAACTAAATTTAGATAATTTTCCTTAATTTCGTTCTAATCTTAAAACTGAATTTTGTATGGAAAAAACAACTTAATTTCGCTGATACGAAGGCGAAATTAAGATTTTTGCGAAATTAAATTAAGCGAACTATAAGCCTAAGCAAGTGCCTAAATGAGATAGTTTGAACCTGGTATAAGCTGTCATAAAAGGACATATTAAGAATTTACTGCGCCTCAAATGCAACTACATCTGATCATTTAATCTAAAATTAATTAAAAACTGATGAATCAGCTGTTTTGGTTTGAATTTAAATTTTTGTATTATTTATTTGCGCGGCACTGGTGTTCTCACCAGACTTTACACAAAGCTGTTCCATAATAATCTGTGTAAAGTGCGTAATTTGGCACTTTATTGTGTTACGCACTCAATTTGTATTTGTGTTTTACTTGAGTTTTACTACGAGTAGCTCGTGGAACAGACCTATTATTATAGTTTATTTTGACAGATTTGTTTTCTAATAAAAAGTAACTATGGTACTGAACTAAAGTCAAGCACTCTAACTGCACAAACTTACAATTTTAAATAAAATTATAATTTTAACAAATTTGAAAACTATTTAACATTTTTTTTAACAATTTTATTAAATAAATTTGGCTTTATTAATCGAATTAGTTCAAATTAATTTTTTTAAATAATAGTGAAAATAAATTACAAAATATTTTGTTGAAAATTATTTAGATATTTATTTAAAATAACATTAAACTACATTAAAAAATAAATTACACTGACATCGAGAGTTAAAATATGGAAACTCCAAAGCAACTATTGCAAAAAATATATTTTTTTTTTGGTATAAACCACTTTTATATTTAATTTTTAATCGCTGATTACTATATTATATAAAATGTACAATATCATTTTTCATTATAATAAAATAACAAAATATTTTTGGCAATAGCTTTATATGTAATGTACATATTAGCATAATAAAACTATATATTATTCATTTTATGACAATATAATTTCCTCCTTAACATCTGATGAATCATTCTGATCCTGTTCTAACTTCAGAGCTCGTTTCTGTAAATGCCGCCATAATGTACTCTTCGGTATGTCAAACAAATTTGCGGCATGATTCTGTGAAACACCTTGATGAATGCATGCATAGACCGCTTTGGCAAGTTTCTCTCTTAATTCCTCTCGTGTGCCAGGATCTCGTTTTTTACATACAATAAAATCAGGTAATCTTCCTTGCTGAGACAAGCGTACTTTGTATCTGTGCAATGTTGACATTGGTATGTCTAAATCGTGACTAATACTCTTCAATGACTCGCCCGTTTTAAGCCTCTCATGTACTAATTTTATTTGCGGATTCTCTCGTGCAGTTTTCATATAATTTGGATGTAGACGCACTCGTCGCCAAAGTACAGTTTTTGATAATTCGTATTTTACAGCTGCTTTTTGTAGACTCATACCTTCTTCAATTACCGCCTGAACAGCTAAATCTATTAGGCTTTCCGCTGAACGACGCACCTCAGTTTTTGCAATCGTTTTATCTTCCACAGAGTCTGTTGTTGATACTACTGTTTGTTCCATTTGTATTGGATCTGCATCGGTTTTCATTTTGTACATTTTTCCTTTGGGTATGATTTGCACTACCGACGACTGACTTTCTATGCTTGCTGAACCTCTTGGAATGTTATGTATTTTTGTTGAAATTATTGGATTTTCTGTGTTATTATATTCCTCAATTATATTGCTTTCTACGTCCTCTTCGGTGTCTATTTTTTCAGCACTTTCGCCATTACCAGTGTCTATATCTTGATTTTGAGCTAAAGCAAATGTTCCGTTTTCGCCTGTCAATATAAATTCACCATTATTTGCTCCTTGTATATGCTCAATTGAATATGTAATTTTGTGGTTTGGTTCATGATAAACATCAAGAAATTCTAATTCGCGCGGTGGTCCTGGGTCAGTAACATTTTGTGTTTCCTAAAAATAAGCATTAAAATATTATAATTATGGTAATAATTAAAATTATTATCAACAAAAACTTACATCAACTTTTTGTGAATAATTATCCTGCTCTACAAGATCGCAATGTTCCATTTGAACGTCTGTTAAATTTTTAACCTGCAAAATTTCCGCACCAACTGAGGTGTGAAGATTTGCTTGATTGCATTCAAAACTTATTGCGGATTTGACTCCTAATAAATTCATAGTCTCGAGGAACTCCGATAAATAAGCTGATCCTACATGTGCCTCGCCCATGTATATGAAACTGAGTACGCTATCCAATAGTTCACCTTTTATCTCTGGCACAATAATCGTTGCTTCTTTATCAAAGGGAATTTCAGCTAACAAGGTACGCAGTAAATCACTACTAGAACTTAGTACGAAGCGATGGGCGCGTACAGATTTGCCCTTAGCAACCAGTGTGACTTCACAGGTTTCTGGATCATTATGTAGAGTTTTTTGTATTTCCATTATAGTTGAAGTGTGTCCCATCCATTTTAGGTGGTTCATGTTTGCCTTGTTTTTCTGCTTATTATTTTGAAAATTTGTTTTGTTTTATTTTCACTTTGATATATGAAATTTATTGAGAACGAAAATATTTGTAGCGATTCCACGAAAACAAACGAAATACGTCGGAACGAACATGTAGAAAAGTACTTATTTGCTATTTCATAACGTTTCGTTAATGCTGCCAGATCGCTACATTTGGACTTAGTTTTTACAGTCTAATTCATAAAAATTTCTTATACTGCTTAATGCTTTTTAAATGCATTTTAGATAAAATATATTTTAATTTTATAATGACATGATAATGCACCCTAAAATATATCCATTTTATAAACATTTGATAATTACAAAACAAATATTAATTATTACATGTCCGTTAAAGACAACATTTTTTGCAACACTGTAAGGAACAAAACGAGTTTAAAACAGCTGCCAGTTCAAATTAAGGAAGAGCAGTTGTACTAACGTTCATAATTTTGTTCACCACGGCAGCAAAAAAAAAAATTCGTGGAAATAGATAATAGAGTGCTAAAGATAAGCTACATGATATTTTTGCTATAGTTATTTTCAATTATCTTTATATTCTGTATTGCAGGCTTTGCTAAAAGAGCTCTTTCGTGAAAATAATCAATATTATTGAAAATAAAAACAAGGACATCAACACAAATTCAAGCAAAATGCGTGGATAAATTTGCAAGAATAATTCGTATATACATAATTTACTTAAATACATATATACATGAATCTTATTTTTGTTTTTATAAAATGTTTATTTTTTTAACTTTAACGAAATGTGTTCTGCAAAGTGATCAGTAATGCAACTGAAGGTACAATGGTCAATAATAAAAATAAACACCAAAAAAGAGAAAACTTTAGAGAGACACCAGCTCTTACAAACAGGCGGAGGGCCACTTTGTCCTGGTGAAGCATTGGGAAGTGATGACATTTCTGTTTGGCTTCCAAATGACTTTGTGGTTGACCACAACTTATTTGATTTTAATAGAAATGAAAATATATAGAAATATAGATGATATATAATATATTTCAAATGACGCAGTGGAAGAAATATTCCACTCCAATATCGCAAAGCCACTAAAACTTGTAGTGAAATTCTTCATCATGTAACAAAACGGATCTTCCCGTTGTTTATATATTTTTGAATGGCGGTAAATTTTGCTTAAAATGCTGTTATAGAAGCTTAAGCCTATTATAAATTTTGATATTTTATAAAAGCATTTTAACTTTATAAAACGTTTATGAATAGAGTTTTATAAATGGTTTATAATACTGTTCTGTAACATTTATGAAAACATTGTTGATAAACAATGTGATCAACCTTTTATAACTTTTTATGAATTAGATGGTATATGTTTGGTAATTATTTCTTTGATTGTTTTCTTATAAAAATAATATCAAAACAACTACAACAATTCTTTAAATCATTAGTTCTTAATTCTATGCCTCTGCTATTTATTAATTATAATTATGATTCAATTGAGATGAAAACTGAACATTGTACCGTTTAGCATTTTGTTCCAATATCTTATATTATACACATTGAAATTCATTTAGTCCAACTTGCTTGTATTGTCATATATTGAAAAAAAAACGATCTGGTAACTCACAATATGAATATTACATAAACTGTCAAATAATACGTAAGAAATAAATTTTGATTTTTATATTAATCTAGTAACGAAAATGGCTGGGTTAATTAAAAATCTAGGCTTCAAGTTAGCAACTGGACTTTCACGTCGGAATGGTAAAACCACTATATACTACATATAAACCATATCTCTCATTATGATGTTTTAGGTGCAGTTATTGCTACCAACTTACGTTTATATAGCAATGCAGCTCCAGAACCTAAAAAAGTCGATGATAGGCGTATGTATTAAAATGTATTTAATAAAAATTTTAAATAATAATATTTTAACATAATAGCAACTGTAAGAAAACCTAATGAAGCCACACGTACTCATTTGACCGATTTTGGTAAATATGTTGCTGAGTGTTTACCAAAGTATGTACAAAAAGTACAATTAACATCGGGTGATGAACTTGAAGTGTTGATAGCACCTGAAGGTGTAGTGCCAGTACTACAGTTTCTAAAAGATCATCATAATGCACAGTTTAGCAATTTAGTTGACATTGCTGGCATGGATGTACCCTGCAGAAAATACCGTTTCGAGATTATTTATAATATATTATCTTTGCGTTACAATTCACGTATTCGTGTTAAAACTTATACTGATGAATTGACACCATTGGACTCCGTCTGTGATGTATATAAAGCTGCAAATTGGTATGAACGTGAGATATGGGATATGTATGGGGTGTTCTTTGCTAATCATCCCGATTTGCGACGCATACTTACCGATTATGGCTTCGAGGGTCATCCACAACGCCGAGATTTTCCATTATCCGGTTATGTCGAGGTAAGTTATTACTTTTTTAAAAATACAATATATATTATATTATTGAAAATCTAGTTGACTACCATTCAGCTACCTGTAACCCTTTTTCTGATTACAATTGTTTTCCTTAGTTTAGACATTTAATTTAACTTTTTAAATTTTTTTATTACGATCTCGTTTATGGAATTTTGAGCAATGTCACTTTGAGTTTAGATTAGTTCGAGCTGTGTTGTTATTGTTGTTGTAGCCCGCCGGGATCTGAAAAGCAGATAACATGTAAGAATTACAAGACGAATACATAGGTTGAGATGTGAGTAAGGGTAGGAGGAAAAGTGGAAGATATAATTGAAATCAACCCGATCGAGCCGTAAAAACCTATCTACGTCAGTTTCATCTATCAAATGATTTTGCTAAGACTAAATTAACTAAATAAATATTAATCTCCAAGTTAGTTGTTTAGAAGTATTTGTTTTATATTAATTTTATATAAAAAAAATGTAAATAAAAACTTTAATTTTATTTGGTAATTTCGAACTAAAACTATAGTTTATTTATGTTTACCAGTTATTTCGGTTTAGATCATAGACCATATATATCTGCAGTGTTTTATATATATATATATATATATATGTATATAAATATATAGCAGAAAACATAAAAAGAGTTCAAAAGACGTACATAGAAAGGGATGTAATTGGATGAAAGTAGACTGAGACTAAAAATGCTTGATGCAGTACGTTTCTGATTAATATCTTAAACTACTGCTATGAGTGTTATGTTATATATTCACCGAAAAGCAATGTGACCACTTAGAAACTAGCAAATCCATTCTTACCCGTTCCTAATCCTAAATAACACTTCTTCTTTTCACTTATCACGTCCCTAATACATATTTTAACCAGTATATCTAACTTTGTGATTCCCTTTATATTCCTCGCTATGAATAGATCTGCTCAGGGTACAACAATTAGAATTATAACTATTTTCAATTGGTTTCGCTAAGGCCCCGCCAGTTCTAATGTGGTAATATAGCAAGCAGCTCCATGGTGTACCATTGTCTCTTCTAAAGTTGTTTTTGTTAAGGCCTTCAAGAATGTTTAAAGCAGATAACATGAAAGAAATTACAAAGGCATATACATGGGTTGGGATGTGGATAGGTAATGGTGATGGTAATGCGAGAGAGTATTATTTGTAGTAAACGAATCGTTTGGTTATCGAAATACACAAGAGGCTCCGAAAAGTTACAGTTTGTTCCTGGGACTCTTCTAATAATATGTAAATGATTGGTATTGTTAACCAGTTGTTTAATCATTAACGTTAAAATTGCGAAGCGGTAGTCTCCTATTACTTTTATATTCTTTAACGGAGGGGCTACTTGCAAAATACTTTCCAAAACGTTACAGTTATTTTTCTAAAATGTATATATATAAAAGGATATGAATAAATAATTTTATATTTAATCTATTTTTGAATTAATTTTTATGAAGAGATGTTATTTAATTTTTTTCTTTTTTCAGTTACGCTATGATGATGAGAAGAAACGTGTCGTTTGTGAGCCATTGGAGTTAGCGCAAGAGTTCCGTAAATTTGATTTATCTGCACCATGGGAGCAATTTCCAAATTTCCGTAACGCCAATCCACCAGCGGAAATTGTTGACACAAAGAAAATAGATAAAAAGTAAATGAAATCTTGTGAATTAAAACAGATTTGTTATATTTTGTTCAATTTAAAAACGAATTGTATAATAAACCAAATGAAAGTTATTAAATAAAAGAAATTAATAAACAATATTTGGTTTGACCTTCAATTTGTTTATTTTTCTCTACGTTTTTAGGACGTATGCACAACAATTACATTTATACGAAATTATAGTTTGTTTGATTTAGTTAAAATCTTAAATTCAGATTTAATTATATTTATATTAATAATTTTTAAAGTTTAAACACTTTTGTTCTCAGGTACTTTAAGATAAAAGTAGCTGAATAAAATTTAAAACAATTCACATTAAAATTTAAGGTAGAAATTATTTTAGTTCGATATTTGTTTTTACTATAATTATTATACACACATACACAATTTTATTTTACATGAATATATTTTGTTTCATCATTTATATTAGTGCAAACATACATATACATATATATGTTTTTACAATAGAAATCAAGAAAACATATATATATTTATGTACTTTAGCAGCTTTTATAAATACAGCTTTACACTACAATAACAATAATAAAATTTTTAATTAGTTTTTTTAATTAAAGAATAAATTCTTTTTTTGCTAATTATATGGCATTGATTATTTCTTTTAAATAAAAAAGTTTAAAAAGTATTATTTGCAAGTATTAGCATATTTTAACTTCTTTTTCTAAAATTCTTATTGGATCAATAGTTCAAAGTCTGGCTATGAATTTCTGAAGTGGTTTGAGTATTCGTTGAACAAAGTCTCGATAGATAGGTCCAAATACATTAAAAACATATCCTTTAGGTTAAAATAATTTCAAAATTTTTTTTATATCAATTAGCAAATAAAATAATAAAAATAAATTAATACAAATAATTATTTAAAATTAAAAAAAATTATTTTTAGCAAAATAATATTTAACCAATATTGAAAACAAATGTACGTAACATGTAAAAAAAAGTTATCTATTATTTAAAGATAAAATAATAAAAACAAAATTTGTTTTATTTTTATTATATGAAATAGTTTAATAAGGCATATTTGAAAACATTTTTTTAGAAAACAAAATTATATTATTTAATTATAATTAATAATTTGATATTTCCCATTAAAGACCCCCTGGCTACTTTTTAGAAAATTTAAGGTTCTCCAGTACCAACTACTTTTATATTTTAATTCTCTAATATTTTTATGATGAGTATTAAATTCATACTATCTTCCATATGATATGATTTCGGAATAAAACTATAACCCTATGTACAGGATGTAAATATTGGAATGCAGGCAGAAACTGGTGTAAAAGTATATTAGTATGATAGAACTCATTACACTTCAGTACAAATTTAAATATCAGATAAGTTAAGATGATACTATATATGGGAAGTTATATTTTTGATTTTAGCTCATTGAAAGTAGTATACTCCATGTTAGAATTTATTACAATATTATTTGTTTAATAGTCAGTTTTACGGTTCTTTTAATGGTCAGAACTAATACCAGCCCATAGATTATACTCAATTACATTTGTTGAACACTGATAAATTTCTAGTATTAAAGGTGTTAAAATGTATAAGAGTTTCATATATATAGTTGACAATAAAAAAAGTTCTAGCTCAAATAATTCTACCATTTTTGTTGGAAGTGATGTTATCTAGAATCTAGAATGCCTAACTGACTTGAATTTAAGTTTGTGTTAATGGAATGAATAACTTGAAATAATTGGTTAGTTGCAGTGGTAGCTTAGGAGATATCTTTCTGTAGACAATTATTAGCGATTTTTCGCCAACTTACTATCACATTCCCCGTAAGAAACCTTAGGAGATAAAAAAAGACTAAATCCACCTCATTGTATTTAGGTATTATAACAGATTTTTCGACCTTACTGTTGGTACTTCTCTAAAAAACTGTTTTTTTCTGGAAGATAAAGCTGGGCAGACACAGGAAAATGCTAGCATTGAAAATAATTGACAGCAAAATGGAATCTTAAAGATATCATCGAAAGGATCCAATTTAATAAATCAACAATGGAAACGCACAGTTAACAATGTGCGTTAGATAATTCAATAGAAAAACAGATCATATCAAAGGGCATAATAATACGAGATAGAAGCACAATTTTACAAGGAATTTTAAAATTTATATATTTCTATTTGCTTTTTGTTAACAAATTTCTTAGTTAACTGATAACATAGGTCGTATGGTCACAATTTCATTTCTCTTAGAGAATTGAATTGTAATATACCTATAGAAATTATATCAAGTAAATGTGTCCAAATATATACATAAACCTGTACAATGACCTTTTAAATTTTGTTTAATATTAAAAATATGGTATACTAAACTTGCAAATAAATACTAAATTATAATCAAATAGTTCATTTAAGTACCATATTCCGTGCACATAAAATTTAATAAACTAAATTTTACACAAAAAAGGTTAAAAATTCTTACACTAAAGTTTTTTCAAAACAGAAATAAACACATATATATGTAAAGAGAATCATATATATACGTGTATACGTAATTATATATATTATTAAATAATAACAGATAAGGCATAAAAAATTTTGTTTGAGACATTTAAACTGCTTTAAATAATAATTATAAAAATATTTACATATTAAAAAATATTTAAAGAAAATTACTTTCGAGGTTAGCAAGTTTTCACTTCATCCAACACCACTAAGCATGTACATAGTAGTGAGGAAAAAGTTAGCTTCTAATTAAAAATTTTATTTTCTTTAGCAAATTATTAATTTGTAAGTATTTTTAACAATAATAATATAAAAATCACTTTATATTTACTATAAAATATACAAATTAAAATAAATATATAGTTAGTTCACTTTTAAAAAAATATGTGTTTAAAAGAAAGTGGGTACAATATAGCACAACAATACGTCAATAATTTAGTTATTATTGTTAAATTACAATTATTATAATAAAATAATAAAAATCGTATTTCAGGTGACAGTGCCTATGAATTAATTCCAATCATTGTACAAAAATATAGTTAATTTTGAAAAGTTTACACTATTTAATATATTTTTTTTTGATATTAATAAGTTTTATTCTATTTAACGCTTTAATTCGCTTATAGAATCAATTTTTTTTTTTAATTGTATAAGAAAAGTTTTTTAACTTTCATTTAAATTATTGTTGTGCTAATCATAAACCCATACCTTTATAGCAAAATTAGTTAATAATTAATTTTAAATAATATACACAAATAAATGTTACTTTATCTTTTCAGTATAAAGAACAATTTCCAAGATATAATCAATATATAAATATACTAAATTTTGTACAAATTTGTTAACAGTCGTATTGACTGCTTTTCAATCGTATTCACTTTTTAATTCTAAATAAGCTTTGCTTTCCATGGCAAACTTTAAATATCTGCACTAAATTCGTATTTTTATGTATAAAACGAATATAGGAAACCATTGAGCTCATTACAAAAAAATTACAAACAAAGTTATACATACATACAATGTACATATATTGTATATATGTATATATATATAATATATAAATTACTCACAAGTGTACATAGCATGTACCTGAGCTTACAATAACAATAAATATATGTGGATTAAATTGTTTTATATTTTTAAAATATAAATTTTTTTAAATCCACTACCAAAGTAAAAGTTTTCAATAGTGCTTTGTTAGCACTTTAGAAAACTTACAAAAAAATTTTGGAACCAATTTAGATTGACTCTGTTTTGGTATAATGTCGCGTTACACTGCTACCGCTTCCAGTTGTACTAGAAAAGTTTTTACTATTATCATTACTTGACGTATTTGAGGTTGAAGCTGCTTCATTATTCATTCTTTCATGGTATTCCTGAAAGCATGGCACAATACACAAATTTGTTTGGCATTCGGGACAGTGGTATTTAGTTTTGCGCCGCAAAATTCTACCATGTCCATCGATTGTATTCCAACAAAAATTACAACCCAATGCTGGCCCCGGTCTAATGACAGGACAATGACTAGAACGAGGATTTTCCAAAGTGATGATCTCCCGTGAGGTCTAAAATGAAAAACAATTTTTTTAAAAATTTATACAATTTTAGAAATATACATTAACACTTAAAATAAATAACAAATAAAACACAACCTCTCCTTCTTACCTACCTAAATACATTCCCACACCAACACCCTTTTTCTTGTTTTAGAAGTATCACGGGTACAATAACAATATCAAATATTATAGCATATAAAATAAAATAACGTGTTAGGAGTACGAAGTTTGAGTTGTAAATCTAATACTTAAAAAAGCATCACTTGGATATAGGTAGTCCAAGGCTAAAAATTTCTAATAACTTAAGAAGGTTGTATTTTGCCAAACCTACATTCTTTTAAAATCCCTAAGATAACTTGGAATTTCTTTGTAAAAATTAAATAATAAATATTTCTAATAGCAATTAACTGAAGTCAAATTGGTTCACCAGAATATTAGGAGCAGATGGGGATAGGAAAATCATTCGCTGGACACATTGTTTGTGTATATTAATAAATATTGTTAAAGCAAGGCACAATATTTCTGCCAACTAAGAATTTATTACGTTGCTAAGTCCATTCATATTTCTCAGATCTTATGAAAGTGTTAGTTGGTAATAATAACATAATTTTGGAAAGCCATGGGTGAAAAGTACATATCATCATTATCGTCCATAGCTGTACAGTCCATGTAGGACTTAAGCTTGTTTTAAGACAATTCCTACATTTTTCTCTATTTTTAGCTTCTATCTTCCAGTTGATGACATTCATATGTCTCAGATCTTGTCAAACACTGTCATTTTGGCTGCAGTTCTTTCTTTTGGCATCCGCACAACGTATCCTGCCCACTTTAAGCGTTGCTTTTTTATGTGCTTGATTATTGTGTCACCTTCCATCAGTTGATGGAGTTCATCATTATATCTTATGCGATATTCTCAGTTTTCTTGTACAGGTCCAAATGTAAAAATATACAGGGTTTCTGGTAAATTGCGAAGGCAACGGAATAGAATAAAAAAATATTAAGACAAATATTATACTTAAATTGGTAGTTTCTAACTGATAATATAAAATACTTTTTGACAAATTAAAGTCCTAAATCTAAGCAAAAAGTGATCTTTTTACCCTACATACCCTACATATTCATATGTTTCTCTTTAAAATTATGAAGGATTATTGTAGTGGTGGTCACTGCCACAAAAAATATTTTCTAGTATAATGCCTTCCCTGGCATAAGAGAGGACTAATCCATTATTGTTGTTATAGTAACCCACTGAAATTTGGAAAGAAACACAAAACTTATACAAAAGGATAAGAGATGAAGGTGAGGGAAATTATATACACTAAGGATTGAAATGTGTGGGAATAGTTGTTTTCAAAAATTGTAGGATATATATTCCGGAACCAATTGCTTGTTTGTGTTAACGATTGCATATACCTTCACCAAGAAATGGCTCTTCTGGTCAAGAAATGTATGGTTTGTGCTTAAGGTTTGTTGTTAGTAAATAGTGCCCACTATACCATCATTTTATAATATAAATAGTTACCAGTATTTGATTTTAGAAAAATACCAATTGTATTATTATAGTACATATTTGTGAAATGTTTATGGTAAAGTTGTAACTTACTTGTGGAGATGACACCGATCGCTGTAGCTCCTCATTCTTAGGTCGTATTGTTGGTAAGTGCTCAAACGAACTACTTTGTACAGCGGCAGATCCTGGATGTAGGCTGCTCCTTTCACTAAGTAATACACCTGACATAGATTTCGAAATTTTAAATTTTGCGCTTGAAATTGTTTCAGATTCAGTTATATTTCTTTCCGGTACAGGTACCGGAGTATTTGGATTCGAACGACCATTATCTCCTACATGTGTAGTTGTGAAATGTGGTAAACTTAGAGTTTTTGTTGGACTGATAGTAGAAATTGTTGGAGACGAAATTGATGTAGTCGCATCATTGCTACTTGTATTTATAGCAGAACTAGTAATTGTTTCTCGCTGTGGAACCACATAGTGCGATGACCCAGCTGGTGGTGGTGAACCAGACGCATATATTGATTCAGGTAGCGATATATGATGCGAATGATGTAGTGGTGCGCTTGAGATATGACTGTTATTACTATTACCACTACTGGTACCCGGCAATGGATGTGAATATTGCCGGTGCAGTGGTGCCAATGGATTTGTGCCACTGCTACTAAAACTACCACATGATATAGTTGAATGTTGAGTAGGCAATAAAGGATCAGAGTGTTGCTTTATTAGATATGGTGTACTTTGTGGCACTGATAACAAATGTGGAGATGTTGAGCTTATGCTAGGCGCTGGTTCCGAAGAATGCCTTTCTATACGCGGTGGCACGGTTAGCAAATGATGATGATGTTGTACGTGTGCGTGCTGATGACCAGTTAGGTGATAAGTAGAATGTGAACTATTTGTAGCTGTTGTAGCCATGTTACTAAAATCAAAATCGGTTGTAGGTGTTAGAGGTTCAGGTGATACTTGGCTATTTGAAAGACTATCGCTATCGCGTTTAACGCGCGGCTGTCGTGTAAGTATTCGATTGCGTTTTGAGCCCATTTGATGTTGTAAATTATTTGGACCTTCTATAGATGCAGAAATGCTTAAATTTCGTGCAACATTATCGGTTGTGGAATAATTTGTCGGCGTTGTTGGATGTTGTGAACCTATCACAAAGACAAAAAATAAATAAAGTTTGTAATTAGTTTATTAATCAATTAGTCATTATTTTTTGATATTATTTTTAAATTGAGAAGATGTTTTTTTCTTATTATTGTAATTATTTATACGCTTTATTTTTCAAGTTGCACATTCAAAACTACAAACTAATTTCAGTATAATTAATGCCCTTAAGGAATTATTTTTAAATGTTTTACATTAAACTTTAGTTTATATTTATTATAATTATATATCTATATATTTTATAACTGTATAAATTTAGGAAACAGTATTTCTTTCATGTATCTAATATACTAAAACAATTACTTTTAATGTTATAAGTTTTTAGGATTGGTTGATTATAAGGAATCCTCAAGTGTGTACATTTTCACTCTTGAAGGATATTCGCTTATATGTAGACACCACGAAATTTTTGTGCCTTAATTTTTTAATATGTAATTTTGTAAAACTATAATAAATTATTATTTATATTTATATACATATACAAATAATCATATAAACATAATTAGTTGATTATAAAAATATTCGTAAAGTAATATTTTGTAAATATTCGTAAAGTAATATTTTGCAAATATTCGTAAATTTATAATTTTTTATTTTCTTTATATTGAAACTATCTTATCTTTTATATCATTTTTATTTATTCTATATATAAAACCGAAAAGAAATAATTTATTAATGAAAAATTAATTTAATGGAAAAGTACACAAAAAAGACCTTAGATTTTTTTTAATAACTAAACTTAAATAAATATTTAAAATATTTAAAAATAATTAATACTATGGTAGTATAATAATATAGACAAGTATAGACAATAAGGAAATCGATATGCTTTAATTGATAAAAGAAAATCTTGAAGTTTTCTTTCATATATCGGTATATATTTAAATTTTAATGTTTTAGCTTTATGACTTATTGAAAACCGCCTTATATGGCTAAGGAATTATTACATATATTAAGAAGTTGGAATTTAATAAACATAAGACTTGTATTTTTGAAAGCTATTTTATGTACGATTAAAAAAAATTGATATATATTTATAATAGAAATAATTAATTATCATTTTCAATGAAAAATATTAAATAATTCTATAATAAGGTAATAATCCTTTTATTTGCGTTATTTTGCACAATTAAATTTTCTTTTCTATTAAATTTTTTAACTTATTTCTGTAGGTGATCTTAAAATCAATATATTACCGATAATAAATAAATAAGGTTTATTTTTTAAATAATATTTTTGGTAACATAATATTTTTGCTGTAAAAAGCTACATATTTTAAAAATAAATTACTTCTATACAATCTTACAGTAGAAAAAAAAACAAAAAATACAAATAAACATAGCCAGTGTCGTTTTTATGCTTATATACGTAAAAGTCAAAATACTTTTGTTAAATTTAAAAATTCAAGCACTGAAGAGCACTGATCAAAATATTTAATTAAATTCAAATTAAAAATATAATTAAAAGGTATTATGTTTTATAAAGAAAAAATAAAAAAAACAACGTTAAATTCAGAGGAAAAAAAAATATATAAAAATTTCTATTAAATAAATAAAAAAAATTTTAAATAAATATTAATGTAATATAGTACCCTAATAATATAGTGTCTATATTAAATAAAAAAATAAATGGTTTTCTATGTTTTTGCTTAAATAAAAACTACTATAAATTTTTAATAATAATAGTTAAATAAAACGTTTCATTTTTATTAAAAATAATAATAGCTTTTATTTAAAAAATATCATAAATGTTTTATTTTTGTAAAAATAATAACAGCTTTTGTTTAAAAAAGATCATAATAAATTTTTGTTTTTTATTTCAATAAAATAAAAATAAATAATAATAATAGCTCTTATTTAAAAAAGATCATAACAAAAATAAATAACAATAAATATCTAAATAAAATAATAAATAAAATAAAATATAATAAAATATATAATAAAAAAATATATAAATAATAACAATATATAAATAATAAAAAATATATAAATAATAAAAAATATATAAATAAAAAAATATATATAAAAATATATAATAATAAAAATATATATAATAAATAATAAAATAATATAATAAATAATAAAAAATATATAAATAATAAAAAATATATAGATAAAAAAATATATATATAACACACAAAAAAAAATATATGAACAAAACATGTGAACATGTGAATATATGTGAACAAAAACAAATATTTAAAAACTAAAATTTTTTTATGAATACAAGAATCATTTTGTCTGCAATTACAAAAAAAAATTAGAATATTAAATCAAACTTCTTTACGAAAATATATAGATAAAATTAAAATTTAATTATTAAAATTAATAAATAATTTTTTATTTTATTGTTTTTTATGTATAACATTAATATTTTATGTTTATAAATTAACTCATATTAATAAACTTTTTATAATTTTAAAAACCATAAATATATACAAGCAAAACAAAAATTTAAGCAAAGAAACATATAAACAATAATATATAAACAAAAAAATATAAATAAATAAAAATATATATATAAACAAAAAAATATATATAAATAAAATAAAGTGTATATAAAAAACAAAAAAAAAATTCGAATCATAAAATAAAAAGTCAATAAAAACAAATTGAATGTATATAGAATTTTACTGTTATATTCTTTATTCCATAAAATTACATCAATTAATGTGTTGCACAATGAAACTAAATTTAAAATATATATACGTTGTATATATAACTACATTAAGTATAATTAACCTTTACTACATATTTAAAATCAAATTAAAAGACAATTATTATATTAATTATATAATTAGTTTGTTATAAATTATCTTTTCATATATATATAATTATTGTGTAAGATATTATTTATTCCAATATATTATTATAAAACAGATTAAAAAAATAATTTAATTTATAAAAATTTATTGTTCGCTAAATATATATAAAGTTCTTAATTAAAATAATTAAAATACATCATTTATAAAAATAAAATTATTAATTTAACAAACACAATATTTTTTCTGTACACTTTATTTTTGATATATATATTTATATATATAAAAAATGTTTTAACATCATTTGCTTGAAATACAACTACTTAGTTATGTTAGAATATATTATATATTCCTGCAACATTCTTATATATGTATATATTAGTACACATATCATATATATATATATATCATATATATGTGCACATATATTCACATATATGGTATGCAATATATTCACATATATGGTATACGCATATATGCATATATATTATTATATATATATATAGGTACATATATATGCACATATGTAATATATGTACGCACATATATAACATGCACATATATACATATATGCACATACATTATATGTACCTATTTCATATACACAATATCATATACAAAGACTTATATTATATACTATATATACATATATCCTTATTCGTTTTATTGATATTTACTTTTAGTTATCGATTTACTTGAAGATCCTTTGGCAAACGGGCATCCAAATGCTTATTAATATATTGACTCTTGATATTTTCCTGTATTTTACTTTTTCTACTATTAATTTACAATACTCTATGTAGTATAGACAAGTACAGAAAATGAATTTCATCATATAAAATTAGTAAAAAAAGGATTATAAAATAGAACTTTCTTTGTGATTTATTCGGCATTAACAATCGGTGCGGTGGTTGTTGTAGCAACTGCCGCTACTGTTAGCGGCGCTACGCTAACAAAATTATTTAAAAATATTGTTGCCGTACTATGATGATGATGTTGAAGATCAGCGCCAACACTGCCTACACCATTGTTGCCACCAATGGTCAGATGAGCACCCGGTGCGCCTGTACAATTTTGCGTTGACGTTGTTACAGCATGTAGCATAGGTGCTGATGCTGTTGTGGATGTATTATGTAGATTTTGTTCCGCTTGTTGCTCAATTTGCATAGTAATCGTTGCATTGCTGGAACTCGGAATTGAATTCTATATTGAACTAAAGTTAATACTCTGTAAATTCATTGCAGCTGCATTAACATTGATTGGTGCTCCAGCTCCTCCACCTGTGCTAGCTCCTGTTGCATCTATATATCTCTGCCTTGACATGGTATGTAAGCTAGTAGGAAAATCCATATGTCTGGTATCTAAAAAGCTCATAACACCCATTGGATGAGTACCCGCTCCCGTTGCTGCACCTGTATGATGTGATGCACACATTAGAGATGGTGTTGGTGTATCTGACGTTGGTGGTATTTGCATATTAAGTGCTGCAGTTTGTGCGGCTGCAACAGCTGCTGCTGCTGCCATATGTTCATAATTTTCATTAGTGTTTTCATCCGTAGCGGCAATAGGTGGAGTTGGAGATGGTGAGAGATTCGGTTCTTGTTTAACTACACGTGATTTAATGCTGGGTCGAGATACAGGATAGCCACGTTTCTTATATTCTAACCATAGTGTACGATTGTTCACACCATATAAACGTGCTGCTTTACAAAAACCAATGCCACCAGATCGTACTGCTTCCAGCGCACGTATAAAATTCTCATCACCCTGCGGATTTACTGACCGTTTACGTTTTACCTGATTAGAGCCATTTCCTCCAGACCCATTTCCACTGGAACCGGAATTTCCAGTATTAATGTTACCATTGCCACTATTGGTAGCACTTCCCATTCCTGTATGTACAGGTGATTGAGTAGGTGATGGCCCTTGGCTGTACACTGATTGCACCATATTTGATTCGTTGGGTGATGTTGGCGACATATTTTGCGCTGCCGCTGTTGTATAACCACCTACTAAATTATTAACTGTTATTATTTGTGGTGAGTATGTTGCATTCTGTTGTTGCTGATAGTGTAGTTGTTGTAAGTGTTGTTGCTGTTGTTGATTGCTAACAGTTTGTGCATCCTGTTGTTCCTGCTGTTGTTGTTGTTGTTGTTGACGTTGTTGCTGGTGTTCAGCACTGTTGGTAGCATTAGCATTTGGATTGCCACCCGTACCGATTAAATTAGTTTGACAAGATTGCAGCGAAAAGCGTGAATAATTTGAATCAACGACCGTCCATTGCAGACCTGGGAATGGGAGAGAGAGAGAGAGAGTGAGAGAAGAGTGTGAGAGAGTTTTATTAAAAAGAAAATCCCTAATTAGAATTTAACTAGAACTACATTTTTACTTTAGAAATTTACTTATTTTGCTTTTTTATCAAATTCGATTTTTACAATTAATATATTATTTGTTTTACTTGATTAAGAGAGAGATAGTTAGAAAGATTGCTAATGCTAAATTATTTAAGTTAAAATGAAGTATCAATTACAAAAAAAAAAAAAAAATTTATAATAAATAAATAAAAACAACAAAACAAAAACATATGTATATAAAAAAATCTTTTAAATTTTTTATTCTATGTAAAGAAAGAAAAATTAAATCAAATTTCAAAATTAACTCAGACTCTGTGCTATAGCTCTCTCCTGATCCCAAGTACAGCAAGAATGGTGTTGAAATAATTAGTAATTCGTTTTAAACATTTTCTCTTTGCAACATGATTACGTAGTTAATTTTAAGTTTTATATTAAAATTTTCATTTTTTTATTCTATACCTTAGAATTTAGATAGGCGAAAAGCACTGTATATTTAGCTTTAGCATTCATTCTTTCAACTTCTTTTGGTAATCATATTTTTTTTAATGTAATAATAAACACAGCACAAAATTATGACGTAGCAATCGTAAAAAAATGATTAAAGAAATTTCGAATCGTGATTTTATATGACAATAAAAAATATATATACACAAAAAAGATTTATAAAAATCAAGACAATCAAATTTTGTGTTAAGGTGTTCTGAGAAGTGATCATTTTGGATAGCTACAGAGGAGTTCGATTGTATAAATGCAAAATTAATAAGTAAGATATACAAATGAAAAATAAAAATATATTAAATAAAATCAAAAATACAAAGAAATGACTTATTATTAGTTAATGAATAATATTTTGTTTCTTTTAAGTTTAACTATGAATAAGGACTACAGAATATATATTTAATTAAATGATTTATATCGTATCAACTATACAAAATGAATGATTATTTAAAAAAATAATGTTAGTTTCGTCAGAAATTTAGGCAAATATAATGTCTAAATATTTAACATTATATATATATTATAAGAAAGACGTGTCAGTAGATTAAAGACAATCTGTAAGCTTCACTAATTGGTTATTATTTAATTTTATATTAGGTATATCACATATATATATTCCAATATGTTCTTAAATAAAGCTAATTTAATTACTCTCTGCTTCTATAGAGATGTTTTAAATTTATTGAAATGTAATTAAATTTTATTAATTGCTTGCACAAAGTCAGAGATTTTTGAAAGTTAATTTATATTAACGAAAAGCGTATATATTCTAATTTGACTTATAAAGAGTCATAAATCGAATTTCTCAATTTTATTCTATAGACTTTTATATCTATTGACTTATAAAGCTATATAAACAGTTCCTATTAAACTGAGGTGCTTTTTATATATTACACCTATACTGTAAAATTCAAAGTTTTTAATAAAATATTTTAGTCTTATACTACATTAAGTTAAAATTGTATGGTGTTATTGTTGTATCATAAAAATACAATAGAAATTAAGAAGATTATAAGGATTTATAAGGAAATTATTTATTTCGGCAATATGTAAGCAACCTTACTAAACTCTAAATGAACATCTTTTTTTGCAAATTTACTACAAAAAAAAAAGATAAATACTAATATGCAATAGTATTAAAATATGTAATGAAAAACTGTAGATGTTTAAAACAAAAACACTAATAGAATAATAGAATAATGTACATTTTTAATTAAGCTTACCTGAGTGTGATGATTGAGAATTAGGTGCGTCATGTTCCGATGGTGTTGTAGCTCCCGATATATCAAGAGGAATAGACTGTTGGACGCCACTAATATCTACCTCAGGTTTCTGCAAAAACAAAATATATATATATATATATTCATATATGATCTCAAATCAATTAATTTTATTATTTTTATATTTAATGTATTTATGGTTAGTTTTTATGTTAAAAATTACATTAAAACATAGTGAAAGCTCTATTAAATATACATCTTTCTTAAAAGTTTCTAATATCAAAATTTTATTTTTCACACATAGTAAGTTATTTTTTTTTAAGTGTAGTTTGCTTATCCTGACAAAATTTTTGGTTTTATCAGTATTAAGAGAGCTTTCACTATTTGTATTATCATAATAATAAAAGTTTATTACTAATAAAACTTTATAATTACTTTATTTTCATTAACAAAACAATATATATTAAAAATTATATTTACAATTTGCATATGTACGTGTCCATGGGTGTCATCTAAACTATCCGAATCGTGTGCATGTGGCTCTAAATCTGTACTACTATTATCCTTTAAAAGTTTAGTTGTATGTAGAGAATGGGCGCCAATAACACCTAATGTACCAGCATTACCACCTGTATTGAATGACATTTGATTCATCTGTGAAAGTGTTATTCCTGCAGCTGTATTACCAGCATCTAATGATGTATTATGTGGATCTTCTGAATTATTACGATCGCCTGAACCTAATATTATATAATAATTTATATATATTATTTTAGTTTTTTAGTTTAGTCTTGTAATATAAATTACCATTATTAGAAGATTTACGTAAACGTTTTCTTCTTGTAGCTGGTGATGCACCAGCGCCTAATGGTGATGGTGTACGTCTCAGCTGATGATGTGTAGTTTGCGTTTGACTATTTTGTTGCTGTTGATGATGTTGCTGTTGATGGTGGTGATGCTGTTGTTGCTGCTGCTGTTGTTGTTGCTGCTGTTGTTGTTGCTGCTGCTGTTGTTGTTGCTGCTGCAATTGTTGATGATGATGCTGTTGTTGAAATTGTGATTCCGTACTGCCCCATAGTGAATCGCTTACACTACCACCGGTACTACTACCTAGACCACCACTACTAGCACCACCGCCTTGACTATTTCCTGCACTACCCATAAGTTCGGTTGCTTCATTTGATGATTTACTTTCTGATTTTGTTAAGTTGGCAGGATCGGTGGGCATTTCAGCTAGTCCTTTAATTTTGAGCATTTCTGCGGTTTTAAGTATGTGAGGCAGTTGCTCTTGAGAGACGTTTACCTCGCCATAATACATAAAATCGACCATTGTTTTAAGATCGTCATATTGTACATCTTTAAGTATAACTATCGGATGTTGACATGGATTTGTTGTGAAGAGGGTCTATACATAATTAAAGTATTTATTGACATTTAGTATGAGATTAATTTGTTTATCAACTTACTTGAAAATATGAACTACAAGCAGAGAGTACTATCTTATGTGCTTGCAGTTGTCTGCCCTCAGCAGCCAATGTTACATCAACTAATGTACCATTGTGTAGTAGTGATGAACAAACTGATATAAAGTTTGGCTGATGGTTATTCCAACGTAGGCAAAACTGCTGTACTGACATGATAAATAATTTATGTGCAGTTACAGTAGCAGTTAAAGTCGCCTCAGTTTTCTTTAATATTTCTTATTAAACACGTTGATATATATCCGCTTTGATTATGTAGTTAGTAATATAAAATTTAATATTTTGTTTGCTGATTTTTTAGCAGGCTCCTTAGTTGCTTCACATTTCCAATCGTCTATTTAATTAAAAAAAAAATAAAATAATAAAAAATTAACGTATTTTTAATAAAATTTTAAAAATGGAATTTATGTCTACATATGCAAGTCTTTACATGTTATTGGTTTTTTTTTGCATACGAATCACTCAAATTATGTTTATATATTATTCTAAACATTAATTATATTGTATATTTGCATTTTACAAAACTTCTTGAGCACACAAGTGTAAGAAGTTCTTAGGAATATATATTTTGAGAAAATGGAATTGTGGTTTTAATGTACACTTGCACACCTTTCTAACCAATCGGGCGTCTTAACCTACAATTCTTGTTTATTTTAATTTTCGTTTCATTCTTTGTTCCGTTTCTTTATGTTGTTCACAATGAATTGATATTTTTCCATTCTATTTTGTCAAACTTTATAGATATTTTTCAGTTTTAGTTTTAGTTTTAGTTTCCATAAAATAATAAAATTAATATTAAACGAATTTCTTTAAGTTCTGGTATATTAGAAGACCTTGAATTTTTAATTCTTATGACGTCATTTACACTTTATTTTTGTATTATTATATTTTTTGTAACATTTAGCAGCTGCACAATTATATACAATTGCACAATTTAATTCATAAACACAACTTGTATTACACTCCGTATGTTATGGCGTACATATTATATTTAACATTTAATCACAGATTACAATATTTTTGCCTACTTAATCGGAGGTTAGATTCCTGTTAAAATCATTAAAAACAATCCTTGAACTTTAATGAATGAATGTATTAGCCGCCGAGAATAAAAAAGCGGAAAGGCAAGCCGCCAATCTTTCACAGTGTTGCATTTCATACATTCTTACAATGCTCAACGAATATCATGCGAAAAGAAGGCAAAAAAAATGTATGTATATTGCAAAAATATTAATTATTGACTTTTACATTAAAGTTACGAACTCATAAAAAAACAAAAGTTATAAAAAATCATAATGCATTAACATACAAATTATATATTTATAACTTAAAACACATATTAACACATTCTTTACATATTTTTTTTATTTATTCCAAAGAGATATAGGAAAAACGACAAACAAAATGGCGCTTTGCAATAACGAAGTATTTTTTCCAACATATTTTTCGCTATAAAACTTAACCTTCATTATTGAAAATATATACTTTTAATTACTCATTGTTAAAACTCATTATTTTATTGCTTATATAATATTAAGATACTTTTTATCGCCCTCAATAAATAAAATTATTCTTACGTTTTAACTGAAGCACAAAGAGAAGAGAGAAACTGTTTTTTATGTAATGGAAAAATCCAAAATAAGAAAAACACTACACTAGCTACATCTGGCGTGAAACTTTAGAACATATTTTATTCTAAAGATATTTACACAAAGAATGTTCTTGTCGGTGTCATATGGTTATAATACATAAATTTTATTTAAAATAATATCAGTATAAAAATCTTATATGTGTACTACTATATGTATATTTCTAAATAAATATAATGTTTGTTACAACAAAGTTATGTTAAACTAGTAACATTATTTTTTATAGGAATAATTCTTTATCACATCATACAAATGTTATATGTGAACATTGCGCATTTTATTATTTTTTATTTATTATTTTAATTTAAGTAAAAAATTTTTATTACTACTTATATTATTGTTCTTAATTTTTCAAATACATATGGTAAAATAAAACATTTAATAAAATAAGGTCCACATTTATGCTACGCTACATTCAGCATTAAGTGTGCAGAAAGAATATATTATACCACAAATCAGAATATTTATATATATAAATGATTAAGATTATTATTTTTATGTTTGAATATTATTTAATGTAAACTAAAAAATTAATGCGTTATTAAAAAAAAGCAATATGATGAAAAATTCCGTGTTGTTTTTTATGTTAATTGTAGAGCATATTTATTTTGTGATCTGATTATATATAGATAAACTTGTGTGAACACTAACACGAAACTAATAATACATGACTTTTATTTTGTTATCAATGGTTAAAAACATTTGCACATTCATATACCCGTATTTTTCTAAACAAACCTTAAGTTTATTTAGCAAAATAACTGAAAGTTATTAGCTACGTTTCAGCAAATAATAATCCGCTTAATTTAATTAAAACTTAATTAAATCTGCACTTTTCATTTATTTATTACTTAATTTAAGTAAAGTTTTAAAGTAAATAATAAACAAAAACCTACATTTAATAATTCAGATATTTCAGCAGATTTTATATATTTTTATTTTTTATATATAAAATTTTCTCAATTATTCATTTAGCGCCAAAATTATCCAAACAAATCAAAATAAAATTTTGTGAACAAACACAGCTGACATGTTGATGCATTGGCGATTACTTTCACATGTGATCCCCATTGTTTCAGTAACGAAGATACAGATCATTGTTTGCTAAAACGTAGCTAATATGTATTTGACGCACATAATGTAATCTATTATATCAAAAAATTACGAACCCAAATTATTAAAAAAAGTTGAAATAAATTTGTAATTCACAATAGTACAATTGTATATCGATATTGCGAATAATTCTTATTAACTAAAGAAAGCAAACAAAATATTACTGAAACGGTCAGTATTTTATTTCAGTCCGCAATTCGTAACATGCCCCTTACGAATACTGATACAAAAACAAATATTAGAAAAATATATAGGAAAAATTAAGATTTGCTATGCGAACAGATTTTGATTCAAAGATTACAATTACTTGTGCTGAGGTTATGTTTATATTGTTTTATGTCTTTAATGTAATAAGTATACAACTTTTAGTAGATATGAATTATTACTATGATCTGAATTGTTGTTTTAGAATAAAACAAAACATATACATTGTAATTAGAAATTTATTAACAATACATTGGTTACAATTTTTATTTGCGATCATTTAATAAGAACGTTTACTTACGTCTTATACCAATATCGTAATTCACCATTATTAATTGCAGCTCATGTAATATGTTCATTTTTTATTGAAATAATTTTGGCATTTTAGTAAATTCATATCTAATTTGCTTTTTAATATCAGGTGGCCACATTACATATATAAAGGGTATATTTATCATTAATTACCTCTCACCTGTATGTCTGCTCAATGGGAATTTTATCGTTATCGAATTAAATGTTTGAAAAGAAATTTAACTGATAAATTACTGTTTTATTTTATTCTCTTTGTGGTGGCTTTTCCGCCTTTTTTTGTTTTTCTCTATATAAGTAGCTAAAACTACGGAACTAAATATTAAATAAATGAAATTAAGAATCTGTTAAAATTAATTTAAAATGTTATTATGGTTATATTAAATTTAATCAATTAATATACTCAAATATACTTTGGTATGCTTATATATACTCCACATAATGTTTTCTAACGTGATTATTTGATAAAACTAAAGTTGAAAAAATATACATATGTACATATATTATGCTGAAATAGGAATCGAATAATTTGAAATATATTAAATTTAATATATAGCTGTGGATTACTTTTTATGAATATCGGCGAAGTAGAGCTTAAAATACTACAAAGTAGAATTGCAATAATTACTCTCCAATGGTAAATATATGTTAAATTTTCTAATGTTTACTTTTACATTTTAATAAATATTTTTTTTATAAAAATTGCATTGCAGTTTTTAAATAAGGTACTTTTTTTAATAATAAACAGTTTGGACATAATTTTTCAATATTTTATTACAAAGGTGTCATATTAAAATAACATATGTATATAATAGTGAACATAAAATTATAAAATTAACAATTAATAGTTTAAATGAAATAAATATATTTGTATTTAAACAATTGTTTAATTATGTGAAATTTTGGCAATAATTCCAGGTTAATTATACGAGTAATTTGTTAGATTGAATTTTACTGAAAGGACAGTGACGCAATACTTTTTTAGTGCGTAATTTGTTTTTAAATAAATGCATCATTGTCCTTTCTTATGGGAATTCACTATAATTAAGTCAAAGGTTGATAATGACTATTAATACAAATATATTAATTAAATTTGCCAAAAGTTGAATTCAATTAAAAATAATTACTTAAAGAAGAGTAAAATTTGATGCCACAAATAATACTTATATATATTTTTACTCATATTTATTTAAAGTAATATATAAAATTTAATTGGCCTACAATTCAATGTATATAATATAATATATAATGCATATAATGCAATATATAATGTACCTAAAGCAATATATAATGTATATTACATTCATACATTCATATATGTATTTCCCTACACGCATTCATACATTGAAATTGAAATAAAATAAAGAGATATTTTTATTAGTTCTTTTATTTTTAATTTAAGAAACTAAAAAATTCTTATTATTATTAAGAAAATACTTAACATTCCAATTTTATTATTTATTTAATTTGACAAAAGAAATTACATTCTTAATATAAACTAGTAGTAGAGTAGAGTTACTTTTAGTAGAGAGTTATTTCAAACAGTATTAAATCATTGTTATTGTTAATGTTTTATTTTAAATCTTCTTTAATGGCAACTATATTAAAATTATTAATTAAATTTTTTTAAATTTTATATGAACATAAAATGTTATGTTTAAACATAATGTCAGAATATAGAAGAAACAAGTATCAGCAGAGGTCTAGCCTTAGTTCCCGATTAAGAGATATAGTCAACGTAATAGATATTTCAAAGAACTGTTAGACGACGGTTCGTAATAAAAATGAATAGTCGGGGTATAAGTACTAGATTTAGTTTTTTGATTTTAAGTTTTTTGTACGATGTGCCGAAGCCGATGAATATTTTTTTAGGTTCCATTATTTTGGTTTTGATTTATTCATTCTATTCACTGACTTGTAATATTGAAAACGTTAATATAGCACAGTTTTTCTACAGAAATATGTAGTTTAAATGAAGCGTGTACTCTGTTTTTATGTTCTATAAAAAAAGATATCTATTTCAAATAGGAAAGCCAATTGCAGTGAACAACCATTAAATTCAAAAATTAGCTTTCAATCAAATAAAAAAAGGTTTATCATAGTGTTTGACATTTTCAATTATCCACCATCACACTCTTTTGGATCATCACCTGCAAGTGATTAGTTCTTTTGGAAAGTTTTTGGTTTGGAGTCATTTTACTTTTTGCAGCTGTATAAATATAAATATTAAATGTTGTTTAAATATAAATATAAGAAAATTAATTTTTGGTGTTTGAACATTTATATATATTAACATATAGTATATACCAAAAATATTGTTATAAATATGTATCAAATTTTAATTCAATTGAATATTTTAAATATAAATCTAATTTAAAAAAACAGTATAATAAAAACGCAATAACAAAAAAAAACTCACTTAAAAATACGAATTGAACGTAAACTTTTTTAATTTCTTTCTAGATCCTTCTTTCCGAATCCACTTGATTACCTTGAAGTGCCATTGTGTAATATTAGGAAATTTTTTTTTATAATTTTTATAATTTAAATGGAGTTAGATAGATTGATTTTCATCTCTCTTTTTATATTATGCATTTAGTATAGTAACCTATCATTTTATATTCTAAATGATGCATAATTAAAACAAAAACATTGAAAAGTCCAGTTTTTAAAGAGGACATTTAATATGATTGTCTCAAATACTTTAGTAAAATATCACTGAACTAGATAAGATCAGTAAATATGTCTAAAAATCGCGTTTACCTTTCTTTCAAAAATCTTATCACTAATAAAAAGAATAAAATAAACCATAAAGGCTAAGATAAAAGATCGCTATCCTCTCTAGGTATTCTCACACAAATTTAGAAATGTATGGGTACAAATAGACGTGATTCTTCTTCTTTGTTCCGTTAACTCCCAGTGGAGCATAGGACCTCAACAATTCCTCTGAACCGTATTCTATTTGGAGCAGCCGTGCAGATGTCGTTCCATGAGTAGCGCGCTGATGTTAATTCGGCATCAATTGTTCTTTGCTTTTCTTGATTGTCCTTTCTTGAAGGAGCGCTAGGCTGAATGAGCCTGACTGAACCTTGAAGGTGAAAGGAGGCAACCTTCTCGAACTCCTGAACTCACGTCAAATGCGTCAGACAGCACTCCGTCGTGTAACACTCTGCATTTAAATTCAATGTACATGGACTTGATGATGTTAAGTATTTTTAATGGCATGCCCTTTTGACGTAAAGAAGCCCATATAAAACGTCTGTTCAAACTATCAAAGGCTTTTTTAAAATCTATGAATGTTGCATACACGGAAGACCTAAATTCATTGCATTGTTCAAACACGATTC